AATCTTAATCTAATCCCAAAACTAAGATGGTTTATCCAAAATCTACTAGTTGGAAATGAAATCTTAATCTAATCCCAAAACTAAGATGGTTTATCCAAAATCTACTAGTTGGAAATGAAATCTTAATCTAATCCCAAAACTAAGATGGTTTATCCAAAATCTACTGGTTGGAAATGAATCTTAATCTAAACCCAAAACTAAGCTGGTTTATTTAAAATCTGAAACTAAACTTTAAATCCCAAATACAATACCTGGAAACTTATTGTAGCAGTGACAATAGCATTTGCAACGGTAACAGTCATCACAATAATATGATAAACTATTACAAACAATCCATTCAAATTCCTTTAGTAAATTTTTCTTTTGAGAGAGAGAATTTATCACACCGAATTCCGAAGGTGTTCTTTAACAGGTCGAAAAAGTAACCTTATCACCCTACTATTAAAATTACAAATTATACTCTACAACAGGGTGATAAAGTACCATTAGATAAGGGCAGAAAAGATGAAAACTATATACGTTATTATTGTAAATGGGTATCATGCATGCGAAAAGTTTTTGCTTGGATTTTTACTTTATCTAGCATGTTTTCAATCAAAATGAAATTATTTCATTTTGATCTCAAACAAAATAGAAAAAATAAAAAATCCTAGCAATAACTTTTCACACTTAATAGTACACATTACGATGACATGAATTTGTATATTTTTATTGAACAGGTTTTAATCATTCTGATGCAGAGAAGTTATATTTATCATAATTTAGATATAGCAAGTTTTTTTTATTACTATTAATACTTTTACTGGTAAGTTACTTATATTGCTATTTTTGTTTTATTATGAAGTCAGATAGCGTAAAAGTATAGCAATCCGACAAGTTCTTTTTTTTTGTAAAAAATAATGTAAAATTAAGAGTTCTAAAATTCCTTGAGAATTAATGATTGTTCCTGCAGAACTAAGAATAGAATGGCAGAATTGTGGAGCCCAACCCTTTAGTCGGAATTCATCTACTGTCACAAGCTGCCATCTATAACAGAGTCTTAAAGGGAGTGTTCGCGAAAAATGAAAGGAGGTATAAGCTTAATGTGATAAAAAAACGCTTTTGATCGCTACTAATCTTACTTCAATCTGTTGCGTCTATAAGGAGAAAATTGTTAAAAACGACTCACACCATAGAACGCAGCGTCCATACAAATTCGGAAATATGCAACATTCAACTCGGATCGCACTCCCTTTAATGTTATTATTAGTTTTCATTATTAAGAGTAAAATCAACGATTCACAATGAAACTTGTAAACCTTTGCTTGGCAACGATGATTAAGAAATCTTTGTGCTTTCTCTCCATTTATCAAATATTAACAAACAAAAAAAGTGTGTTTAATCTGTAAAAACAAACAGCAAAACGGTGATATCTAACACAAGGCTTTCGAGGTAAGTGAAACTAATTGAATGGTTTATTTTTAGTCAATTGACCTGGTGAGCTGAACACTTTATAATTGTGGATATCAAGATCAATCTTTTTACTAATCTCAAAATAAATTTAGTCTTTAGTTTCTTTCCAGAAAAGTGTATGAAATTTTATAAGTCAGTGGTATATCCGGATATTCAAAACAAAGGGAAAAAGAGCGAATTAAGCAGATTTTAAAAGTGTTCACAGTGGATGTCCAGATTAAACGGTATTAAGGGTATCTAGCTCAAAAGTTTTCATCTCTGAACAATCCCTTTAACTTAATTGATGTTAATAAAAAAATAAAGAAAAAGAAAGAAGAAAAAAGAAATTTTTGTTTATTCTGATATCTAGAATGTAATGCAAGGAAAGTTATTTGCAGTTGCGTATACTCTGCGTACATATTGAAACCAGTTCTCTCTGGGCGGAATTTGTGAACAAGAAAAGATGCCTCAGTGTTCTTTTACTATCCGAGGAGGTTAAAAGCATTGAATTTTGATAATTTTGATAGTTCACATAATAGTTTCCTATGACCAGAATATTTCATAGATTATATATGTGAAAGATGGATCCCATGTCAGGCTTCGACATCCGTCTTGTGTTTACATTACCGCCCAGTGACAGTACACTGCAGCACAAAAGATGCGTACACGTCTGAAATAACTTTCCTTGCATTAAATCCTTGCTGATATAAACATATGGCAATCAAATCATACTGAAGTAAATTTCACGTAATATTGAAATCTTATATCTTTTTTTATTAAAGGGTTCTTGAGAATAACAGAAATGTTTTGAATTTTCTATTATGTCAACAGAAAAATTTGCTTATCTCTTTCAGAACTAGAGGAGATACTCGGTCACAAAGTTGGACTAGTAAATAAATATTTCTTGCCTATGTTTGTGTTTAGAATCTGCTTGAAGAACCTGCAAGGTTCCCCCTCCTCCAATATGCTCCCTTTCTCCCCACTTTTGCTGGAACTGAACTCTGAAATTTAAAAATGGTTCGGAGGACGAAAGGAACGGAGTTTTTGTCATAACCTCAAATTTTCTAATCTGTATATCTTTGGAACCTTATGGTGTAAGCTTTTTCAAACTTAGACTATTTGATCTAACAGAATTGATAGTTTGAAAAATCTAAGGTCTACGATATTTGATTGCAAAGATAAAGGTATTAAATTGTAAGCAATTAATTCCTTTGTGATTTGGACAGTGTCAAGTTTCAGCCACTGCTAAATATCCACAATCTAAGCTTTCAGAATAAAGAATTCCGTGATTTTAGTGGAAATGCACTAATAGAAAAAGAGTATTCAGCGTCTGCCAGGTAAAACGGTGAAACCGTTGAGGTAAATAGAGTCCGCCTGAGCGCGGAGACAGAATATTTAAGATACAATAAATCTTCCCTTGTATGTTTTTATCATTTAAATGTACTGTAAGTAACCCTCCATGCAAAGATGACAATGCCAGTTACCCTTGAGACCTTCATTAGTTGCATAATGTGGATGCCATCGTCGTTTTTTTCTAGCTTTAAAACGTTTAATTCTGATAATTCATATATGTTTTTCTATAATAGAAATGCGCAAGCTACTTTTGTAATGAATCTACAATTAAAAATAATGAGTTTTCAAAATTATAAAAATTAATATATAATTCACACTTGAACAGACAAAGCTTTTATTGGTACCGTTGTGAATCGGGCATTGCCTTTTGTGCATGGACGGTCACTTAAAATTACGCATACTATCCCTTTAATGATTGCGTCACCTGATCTCATTAAACATCTCCGTGATGACCGCAATAAAGACATTCTTCACCATCCACGCCAGGAAGAAGATCATTGTGATAAAGTAGAAGGAAGATTTCCAAGGATCAAGTGAATCAGTTGCCCTGTACATGATGTACACCCAACCCTCCTGCAGATATAGGAAAATCATATACCTAGGTACATTTACAATTATTCTACTAATCTGCATCACGATGGACTAGGGTCAATTTGAATTCGAACCGGACCGAGCCCTTGTACTGGCACGGCATCTACCGGTCAAACCCTATCCTATAGAAATCTAACAATGTTTTAAATCGAGCTAGGAAATCTGCCTGCCTGCCTAGAGCATACTTGTTAATTGTATCTGTAAATTTTAATCTAGTTCTTTCCAATCTTTTTCCTGCATAGAAACCTGCCTTACTTTCGTTAGTCTTCGTTAGGACTCATAGAACAAGATTCCCAATCAATATGTTTCCCTTTAAACATTAGCATGCCATGTTTTATGCCAAACTTCCTCTACTTCCTCTACTTACTATTTTAGATGTTTCCCTTTAAAAGTCGACCCATATAAGGCAAATCGGTCATGGGGTTCCTGAGTTATGATCGGACATACAAACAAACAAACAACATAGATTACTGCTTTATAAATAAACTAATTTTTTGGACCCAGGGTAGTCATAGTTACCGTTTATCCGAACTTGGTTGATTTAACCGGGAAACCAAATTTTTGATAAACTCAACTTAGAATCTTAAAACTAGGCTAAGAACATTCCCGTGGTCCATCCGAGTTCCCCAATCAAAATTTGAGACAAATCGGTCAAATCAGACAATCAAACAGACAGAAAAACAGAGATTACAACTTTATATATATACAGATACATACCTGGGAAGCTGCTTGATAAACTGTAAACACGCTCAACGCTAGATCTCCAAACCCCGTAAACCCAATGTCGTATTTACTCCTGTTAGACAGATTCATACACTTAAATCCGCTAAAATATAAACAAATATCAGCATATTTTATTCTTCTTCATTGCTTTAATAATAAATTGAGCCATTTTTGATAAAAATGCAGTGGTGCAATGACTAAACTCTTTCTTTTTAATCTTCTTAAAAGTTTAGACCACTAAAACAAATAAACTCTATTTTCTAATCTTTGAATCTGATCTCTTTTTGACCCTACAATTCTCTCTCAATAAAGAACTATTTTAAAAAATAAATAATAAAGTACCTTTTTTAGAAGTTGTTTAAAAAAGGTACTTAAACCTTGAAATACTGAATTCAAAAAACGTTTAAATCGTAAAAATATTCCTTTAAAAAAACTTTCCAAAAAACGTTTTTTTGGAAAGACAATTTTCCAATCGTTTCAAAATCTAGTTTTGAAATATCAAAAAGTTTTGAAATAATAAAAAAATCGACTTTCCCTTATGATCTCTGTTTTTTTAAATCTGTAATTACTTTATTACTTTTTTTTAAGTGTTGCTTCTAATTTGATACTGTATAATTTTGCACAAGTGAAAAAAGGATATGAGGTTTTCGATAAAATATTTTCAATTTTATCAAATAAAACTTCTTACTCTGGGCAATCGTATCCGTATTTTTCCTCTGTCTCCTCCTTGCAATATGTGTCAGGAATAGTCAGGTCATTGATTGTAACCTCGTTGGGATCCTTTATATTCACACTTTTATTACATTTTCAGATCAATAGAGAGGGGGGGGGGGGGGAAAAAAAGACAACTCCGTAAGTTTAAAGATTGTTGAATTGTAGAGCAAGAGGTGATTAAATTGCTTAATCTTGGGTAAACTAGTTTAGACTTGGATTGTTTTCTAATCACTGAATACGCAGTGGATAGTAAGTGGGGTATTTCATGCCAATTATCTTCTAATTTTTTTATAAAAGTTATTCCTGAACACATTCACGAACGCAATGATTGTGCAGATCTCCGAAAAGCTGAACACCTGAAATCATGTGTTAAGAGATGAACTACAATTTGTGCAAGTGTAAATATTATACACAATTCAAAAAAATATTATCATCAAGAAAAGTTAAACTTTTCTTCCCCCAATCCATATGAAAATTCGTCTACGATCCAAATGGTTTCAAAATAGAGATTTTAATCACAACGTTTGAACTTTTATTTTTTTTCTTATCCATTATCCAAGTTAAAGAAACACTCCAAACGTTTATGCTTTTTATCGTCTTACACAGTTGTAATGAATCTTTAAATTTCACCTAGGAATCCGTAGAACGACATGAAGAAAAGAAAGAAGAGTGTCACATTGTAAACCTGCTGACTTGACCTAAACATTTACACAAAGTTTGTCATAATGTACAGCGTCATTGCATCAATAAAATGAAGAAGACTTTCGATTTCAATTTTAATTTATGTTAAGCTTTTAAACAGCATGGATACACATAAACATGGAAACATAAATAAGCTGTCAATTTAAAAAGGTTCTCTTCAATTACTTGTAAACTTGTAATACGAAAAAAGCTTGATGACCATCAAAGTCGTCTTTATTGTTTTGCTATAATCGCCGACCATTGTACGTACATAACTAAAGTAAATGTTGCCAGAGATTTCTTTATATCCGTAAGCAATATATATTTTTTTCCTATTTTTTATAGCATTTTAATATGTTAAAGGTAGAGACTGCAGTGCATATAAAATAAAACATCAGGGTTAATAATACCTTTTCAGGATCTATAATTTGCCGAATTTTAAAAATATGTGCCGCGGCTCAAATA